GATTCACATATTTCCGATGAAATTCCTTGCAAATCTGAAGAAAATATGTTGAGTGAACATAATTATGATCGAAAGCCTGATGTAGTTTTGATAGATGCTAATTTTTCTCATGATCCATTACTCTGCAATGGCATTCTTAATGAATTTCATGAGAATATTTCAGAAGAATCAAATCCTTATGTTATATCATGTATTACCTATCCTTATAATGCATTTGATCCTTGTGAAAAACCTGTTCAATACGAAGCATGAGTATTAAGTGAGCTCAATTTTGATTACAATTTGGATGATTTCATACCAACTGCTGTTCATCCTTATCATAAATCCACTTTCAATGTATACTCTAGTCAATGTAAGAAATATGTTCTAAATGAAGTCACATTATTCATAACTTGGGGATATAAAGATCCAACATTATTTCGTGGGGGAGGATAGTGTTGAAAAATATATGGTTCCAATTCTAGATATTAATGATTTCGGTAGAAAACCGACATGCTGATTGTATACAATTCCAGGTGAGTCTGTTCCGATTTCGTTTGTTAATTCCCATACTAATGAGCACATTCTAGATACTACAAAGTTTTCATCCAGTACAATGTCGGACAGATTCAGGATGAACTTAACAAGAAGACATACAACCGATTGCAAACACTTATACTTCTATTTAAGCTGTAGCGGATGTGGTGTTTGAATTGACTAATGATACTTTTGTACATGTTGATTGTACGATTTCGAATGTGCCTGTGTCTTCTTAATTCAATCGCGTTATTTCTTGGACTCTTAGTTCGTGCTATAATTCAAATAATTCGAAATATCATATTAAGCCAGTACTCTCTTTCTTCTATTATCAGGAAACAGTTCTTAATTATGTAAGGTGGTTGGATGTAGTCAACAGGAAACCCTGGACATATCTTTCGTGCTAGTTGTGACTCATTGCCAAGGCCTGCTTGAAATCTTGAAGGAAATGGTACTTTCTGACGTATTTGATCCCAAATCACTCTGATTCATGGTCTGAAATGTTACCACCGATCTATTGGGAGCTCGAATCACCTCCTGTAGAACTGAGATATTTGCAGTTCATTGATCACTGAATAATAGCCGACTCCGTGTTTGTCAAGTTATTTTTAGTGCTGATCAAATTCCAGACGCCATGTTGCAATATGGATACTAGTCTAAATGAGTCGATGCTGAGATGTTAGATGGTTGGAGGTAGTCAACAGACAACAATGGGGGCTGATATACTCGGTTATAATGTGAGCGGATTCGATATCTAAGGTTGGTAACCAAAACGTCAGCCAAAAGAAATTTCATCATCATAAATATTTTAGGTTATTAGCTAAAATATTGATGAATAAATCATATTTCTTACATATAAACAGTTGTTAATGTAATCGATATCTTCATGAATTCATTTATCTTACTATCTTAACAATGAAAGTGATCTTTTTCAACCATTACAAAAACTGGGTGATAATTACTATCTTAGATAAGCTATAAACGGTAAGTAACCACTTATAAGAGGATTTCAATTGGATGATATAAATTCTTTTCAGTTACAGTTTGTTTATGTTTTCATAAACTTCACCAAGCCTGAGCTATGAAATCAGTAAAAAACGCAGATACTGTGAATTTTTAATTGAATATTCATCAAATAAGCCAAATCTTCTATATCTTAACACAAATTATCTGTTCTACAATGTATTTATCAACTTTTGTTAAAACCAAATGACTATAAGAAATCTGTAGAAAGCCTAGGACCTAGGTTAGCTAATCTAAGGGACTTATCATCAGGGTGTATCTACAGTATAAGAATATTGATACTCCGTGTGAATATATATATATATATATATATATATATACATATATATATATATATATATATATATATATATATATATATATGATTAAGCTAGCTACCGTCATACTATGGTAAAATAATTTACTATATATTACAACAATTTCGTTGTCAATATTGTTAGGGTTCAAATAGAATAAAGTCATGCTTCTGGGGCAAACTAATATTGTATCCGAATTCTGATTGATATTTTTTGTCTATCTACTTTGATATATAATTACACAAACCTATGGTAAACAAAAGCCTTGAACTTAATTAAATTACCAGTTATTCGAACTCACCAAATAGATGGAAAGTTTTCTTGGGTTCGGATGTAGCTTTGTAACAAGGGATAACAAACGAGAAACATTATCACTATGGCTTCTTATGGTTTGTCTGCAACTACCTAATATCATGTCACGTTAACCAACAGAATTTCATGAGTTCTAAGCTCTGAGCAGACGTAACACTGAACATGATTCAGTAATAATTCCTCTCCTCATCTATTCCTAGACTGAAAGCGATTCTTCTAATGATGTTTAAATTGTAAGAGTTTACTTCACCTTTAATGGATAAGTTGTGGGCAAACGAAAAACATTACAGATTTTAGATTCTCGTATTTTCCCTTAGATATGTTAAGTAATTCTTAACTCCGATGATTTTATCTAGTATATGATGCACTTTTTATAAATATTTCATGTTTAAATTCTTTAAAATTCTTCTCCAAACTTCGTCAACTTTTTCTAATACTACTAAAAACCTCAGTTTAAAATGAACACTTTGATGTTTTAGATGAAGGGAAGAGCAAAAATTGAGAAACTTCGATTGGTGTTTTTTATCTGCTGTTTACATGCAAAAACTGCTAGCTAAACAAGCATTGTAAATCAGAGAGGTGCAGAACAGATGTTTTGTCCTAAAGTGGTGATACTTGGCAATATGCACCCGCGACCTATATTTACCTATATATGTAGGTAATCTACATGTTTTATGAAATTTTAGTACCAGAATTCTTCAACCACGGATTTAGTCAGATATATACAGTTTTTGTACTGTATTTTCAAATGACTGAAGATAAAAATGTAGGCCATTCATTCACACCTGTTTGGATGACATTATGGTTTCTGTGATATTTATAGGTCATCGGCTCTGCTCTGTATTAGATAGTTGTAGTGTCAGTTACTATGTTAAGCCCATATACATCATTCTAGCTTTCGGACATCCCATTTTATTCATTCTACTTGAGCCATACTTTGACCTTGCTATTTATTCTCTTATCAGTCTTCACTGTTTTTATATGAGCGTATATGTGTGTGCCCTTCTTATCCTATTAATCACATGTCTGTAGTTTTATTTTGTCTGACTATAAATATTGAGTGACGCTTGACTAAAATGGAGTTGGCTTCCCAGCCATCTTCCCTGCGTGTCATTTTGCTCTACTCTGTTTCATTCGCTTCATATACAAAATATATGTATTCTCAAGTTAATTCTCGTTATTCGACTTATTTAATTCCGTTATTGACTAACGCGATTTAAGTGGACGATTATATACGAGAATAGGCGATAACAAACATTCGTATGATCTGAATAGGAGTCAGATCCACGGGCTACTAAATAGTGAATGAAATCCATTTTAAAGTTGTATTTATAAGTCTGCTCTTAATTTTATTCGATTTAACGAGGGTGGACTAAGGTTATGGTTGTTATGAATCGACGGGTTACAATGCAGTGCGGCGTCGAGTCGCGGTTGATTGTGATCACCAATACAGGAAGACTACGTGCCAGTTAACCGATAAGATCCCCCGTAGGCCAAATATCAGGAGGCAGTTGGTGGCTGTAGTCGATATATATTTGTTGGCGATCTCGTGGTATCGAAATAATACAGAGATCACGTCAGGTTATAAGTGTGGTTACTGAGCGTAACTGAATTCGTGCAGAGTCACAGTCAACGGAATAATGTATGTATTTTGGTACAGTTAAATAAACAAAAAAGGTAATACAATCCCTGGTACAATTGGTTATAATAATAATTGTTTCCATTACACCAATCGCGTTCTCTTGATAAAAGGAGGTCACTACAATCCATGTCCAGTCTCATAAAAATCTAGGGGTTGCAGTGGGTCATGATCTTAAGAAGATGGCCCATTACCTGAGAGGTAGCAGTGAAGGGGTTTCGAACCCTCTGGGCTTTGAAACGGACATTCACTAAGCTAGATACTAAAATTTTCACCATACTATACACATCCTTAGTGGGGGCTAAGCTGGAGATTTGCGTTCAGGCTTCAATCCCTGTTTAAAAAGTGATTCAGATATTCTAGAAAAAAATACATGGGGCAGCTACCTGTGAAATTCTAGAACTCCGGGGTTTATCATACAAAGATCGGCTTGAAAAGCTGAACCTCTTTACTCTGTCCTATCAAGATCAAGGGGAGATCTAGTTTTAATGTACAGAACACTGAGAAATGATTATGGACCTAACTTATTCTTTTTCTTCTCACTAGATCGGAGCATCTCAGAGAACATAGCAGGTTGGAGCTATTGTGACATGTTTTTAAGATGATGGATAGTTACTTTTACCTTGAACTCGTTTCTTTATATTCTAGATCGAAATGGGTAGTGTCTTAAGATTAGATAAAATTGTTAAACGTATAAAGATTTTACTAAACTTACTGCCCTATTATTTCGGAATGAATGCAGATAAATATAATGTAAAATAGCAACTCTGTGAATGAAAAATCAGGATGTGCTACGGTTTCTTATATCTTTGTTTGCTCCGTATAGATGTGTAGGGTGGCGTCGAGTCGAACTTGACTATGATCATCACTACAAGATGAGCGCGTACCAGAAAATCAGAAGGCAAAAGTAGACTGTAACCGGAATTATTTGTCGGCGATCTCGTGGTATCGGAAGTATACTAAGATCATGCCAAAGGAAATATAAGTGGAATCAACGGGCGAACGTGCGAGCGTACAAGGTCACAGTCTACGGAAGAATAATGGAGGAGTAATCGATGTCTTTAGTAAAGTTAAACAAACGAGCATAGTAAAACAATCACTCGTACAATTGGTTGTAATATTGATTGTTTCCATTTACCCAATCGCGTTCTCTTGATAAAAGTAGGTCACTACAGATGCATTAGTAATTGAATCTAATGTGAGTGTTGGTGGAATTTTCAAACATCGGCTTCAGTGGGAGTTTTGAAATCCTAGTGCATGTAAACCTCAGGAGTTACCTGTGATGGTATCAGTAGGGTGTGTCCAAGGAGGGGCGTGTTTAAGTTCAGATCTCGAAAATTCAAAAGTTTGTTCTCAGGTCGGTTTTTTGTTTGCTATTTAGTATCGATCTAATGGTATTTTCCTGATAAACCCATAATAAGATAACTAGTAATTAGGTATGTTGTATGATTTTCTGGGTCAAATCTGATTAGTTGTATTCTGGTTTACCGTAAGGCTTACCTTAAGAAGCTCAGGTTTTGTAGTCTATTTAAAACTACACGTTTGTGCTATGATACTTATCGACTCAAAAGCAAACAGCTATTTATATTGTTTGACATTATTGTAAAGCACGATTGTATTTAGAAGAAATGGATTTGGATTGCTGATTAGTGTCGATAGTGTTTTTGTAACAACACATGCTTCGTCTATGTGGACTCACTGAGTTGATTGTTCGACATAGATTGGCTAGAGGTGTGTGAATTCAGTCAGCAAAGCAAGTAAAGCTAAAGAAAACAACCTATTCGCTCAAGTAAAGCCAGCAGTTTCGCCAAAGTAATCACTTAGATAATGCGGTTAATTCAGGCCTATCGCTTCGCCCCTCAACATTATTCCATGTGTGCTCGATTGCTTCAGTAATCAAGTGATTTCTCCTGTTATTTCGTTCGAATTCGACAACTTCCAGCAGAAATTTTGTTCTAATATTCACTTAAGATCAGCAGCTATATAGCGGAGCAATTAACGCTTCAGTTTGTAGTCATGAACTCAATAACAACAATTAATGAATTATATAATACTTTTCTGTAGACGTTTACTATTTATTTATTTGAACACATAAGTATTGGTACAAGAGGGAGACAAATATATATGCGCCACACAAAACAATGAGAATGGGAAGAAAAAAAGTAAGGAGTGTAAGGGAAAAAAAAGAAGAACAATGACGACCAGATTAGTGTAATGTAGTATAATAATAATAATGAGGGAAACGGAAAGGTACGACCAGAAGAAATCATTCAGTTAAGGAAGATACAACAACTTTTTATGAGGAAAGTAAAAGAAGGTCACAGCAGGATCGCCGCTGGCTTCTATTCTGAGCCATATCTGATAACGTCTCTAGCCACTGTGTTGCACCATCTCTCTGACCCCAGCCAGGAAGTCGTGAAGGACCAACATAAGCCAGCCCTTAGCGGCTTTCTTTCATACCCTGACACCATTTTATACACTGACCACCTCTCCGCTTTTTCCAACCAGTCCCAGAGTCGGCAAATAATGCTCGACGTGGAATTCTGTGGGACGACATTCGTAGAACATGTCCAAGCCACCGAAGTCGATGTTTCAGGATGGTGACACCAATTGAATTATCGTCTCTGTTCCCGAAAACACGATGCCGAACCTCTGCATCACAAATAAAATGGAAATGATGACGATTAATATACTCACTCTTCATGATATTTCTAACATCACTAGTCTTTAGACACTAAGGATTGGTTCAAGTTTGCACACGAACGATTATATTTGCTTTAATTCTAGTCATGTGGATTGTTTTACTTCAGTTTCAAATAACAGATACATTATTAAGAAGCGGTCTAAAAGCTGATATAAAAATAGAATTGGTATTCTTTAGCTTATCCGACTTGGTGTATTTTTATGTTTACGAAAATTGGTAAAACTCCTATCTCTGTAAGTCTAGTGGTATATTTGTATGTTTAGCTTAACCATTATTATTTTTGTAGGCAAGTTGCCGTCGTGTTGCAAACCATTGCTCAAATCTTCTTGATGCAGTGCTAATATTCAAAACGTGGTTCATTCAAAGGCAAAGCGATCTTCCATCCACAACCTCTGAGATAGATATTAAATCCAATGGTGAAGGTAGTATCCTACCCTATAATAACATGACTAATGGTCAGCACCCAGTTTTACACAATCAAATAAATCAACATTCAAGTTATATTGAACGAGATTGGGTGATGATGCATGCTAAAAGAACAGAAGGTCAGTTAAATCGTCTCCGAAATTCGGTTGTGAGTATGCGTGCTCAGCTTCAAGCTGGACTTCGCCATAAACTAGAGTGTGAACAGTTGCGAAGGGATTTGGAAATGCACAAAGTATGTACATTGTTATGTGGGTAGATTACCGCGGTGACAGCGGTGTTGCCCTAACTATCAGTTTTTGCTCTGAATGTTTATTTTTCTTATTAAAACCTTATATTCGGATTGTCAGAATAAAGTCAAATCACATTTAATCCATATATTAATGAGACGTTTACTACTTTTGTTCTTCTAGTTTTGTAATTTTGCTCAGGTAATCGATCTTATGCAGACAAACTTTCACATGGTAATTGTTAAGCAGGTAACACCGTGTAACCCGTTATTAGCTGTTACTTGAATAAAGGTTGATTTAGTCATTTCTAAGTTTAAAAAATGCCAGTCACTTATGAATTAATCAAAAGCTAAGTATAACTATGTTTAAGGTGATGATGCTTATCCGCCCCTACATTGATAAAGCTTTCTATCCCTCCCCGCTTTCCTCTTCTCAAATCCTGTCGTCCAACAATATTAACTGTAGTAAAAATGGCATAATTGTTTATTATTATTTAAAGGTAAATATAAAGGATAATTTTTACTGTGATTATCTTATTAACAATTCTAGTAACCATGCTTATTGTTGGGTAAGAGTTGAGAGATTCTTGTTACTAAGGATATATAACTAGACTTAATTGTATTAAGGCTTTTATTATCAACCAAATTATTAACTTTTTAAGAGTATCTATACCCATATGCCTTGGTACTGCCCAGGGTGGAGAGAGTCCACTTTCTCAAAATACTCTCACATGGTCACGCGTATTTAGCCACTGTTAAGGAAGACCTACTCACTGCCTTCTCGCGGCGGGGATGTTTACGAAATTGAGGGAGTGAAAAGCGAATGTCCGGCGCTTTAACCGGGTTGGTAAGTATGGAGAATCCACCTAGGGGAGCTGGGAAACCCTGATTCCAAACCAATGGTGCACATAGGCTACAGGATCCTGAAGAAACAAACGGATTATGAACCTATTGTTGGCCACAGGCTACCACGGGACTGTATCTCCTAAAGTTGCTCCATTGCCCTGTGAATTAGACCTTTGGGTCAAACGCTCGGGGAGTGGACCCCTAAAAAAACCACCAGCTTCGGTTTGTGCACCCGAGCAGTATCACAGTCCTTACGCAAATCAATGACAACTTCTACTAGCCTCATTGTCATTGTATGGCGCATATGTATTTGGTGCCCCCTTGTACCAATGTTTATGTGTTTAAATAAATAAATAAGTTTATCCATGCTAAATTATATTAAATAAAGGTAGTTGCGAATCTGAATCATTTCTTGAAAGTTTTCGCTGATTACTTATTAGCAAAATTATGATAACTAGACATTATTGATGGTTTTCACAGTAGGAATCTCTTTCAGAAAACTGATACTTGTGTATTTAGGTGACCTAATCATGACGGCTTTGATCTCTAGTGATGGTTTATAGTTAGCAGTTTTTGTTTCATTCCAATGATGTAATTACATTCAGATATAATGTATCGAAGTATAGATGTTGTATCATGCTAAATGATTGTACATTATCTAACTATGAAATAGTATTCATTATGATTATCTTTACTTACCACTACCTTATCGATTGCTAATCCCCGTCCCTACTTTTTAAAGCTTTTGGATTTAGTGATAGATAGTCTAGCTTAGGTTGACTGAGTACCTTCATTGATACAGAGGTTTTTGGAAGCTAATTAATCGACATTAGCAAATTCGACTTGTCAGGTAATTTTATCTAAGATTGATCTGAATTTATGAATCATGTGTTCTTTTTTATCAATTGTCATTCACGTCTATCATGTGTTAGTTTTAAAGCATCGTAAATAAGCATATATCAAACACATATCGAATGAGATTTGTGTGGCGCATATGTATTTGGTTCCTCCTTGTACCAATATCTATGTGTTAAAATAAATAAATAATAAATGAGCATGTAAACATTTAATTTACTGTTTATTAACCGTTCTGGATAGGATACAATATCTCACTATCAGAATATCATCAATGAAGGTAATCGGCTTCGCGATGATTTAAGAGAGGAACTAGTTCGTGTTCGAAAAGAAGCTGCTATTGCTCGATCACGGTTAACTTCAGCGACAACTCAACGTGCTGTCAACAGTCCAGTTACTAGTACCCCGCATGCTCCTAATCATCATCCCGTCGATGAAGTCGATAAAATGGCTACAACAATGATGGTCATGACCAATCATGCAGAGCATAGTCAATTACATGATCTACCGCCTCAAGATACTATAATTCAATTACGAACGCAAATAGAACATCGTATTAGACTGTCCGAGTCTCTGAAATCTGAAGTTAAAAACCTAAGAGAAACAATAAGAGGAATGCTTGAAAAGGTAACCTGATTTATCTGTACTATCATTATTTTCTGATCAGTTATTATTTAACAATAATAATGATAGAAAGTTTCATTTAATCTATAACTATATACTTTACATTTTTATTCTTTTGGAAGAATTTTTAAAGATTAATTTGTAATGTATGTACCATTTTTGAGTTTATCTGACAATTAGTTTTTTTATTTATTTGAATGAGATTTGTTCGTCTATATATACCTCTTGTTTTTTAAATGATCTGTTTTTGGATCAGGATGGATCCCAGTGGCGCAAATATATTCACTTTTTATCTTCCTCTGGATCTTCAGTTCCTGTATTCCCTCATAAGTATCTTTTCGAATATTACTTTGAATATTTGGACTTTCTGATAATCGTTGTTACTACATTATTTGACTTCTTTACTAATGATCTTGTTAATTTCGCCTTATAATGCTAATTTGATATGGAATTCGGGTCAACACACATCTATACCAGTTTCTACGTTGACTGTAACTCAAAATGATGTTAAAATTTGGAATTCTTCGGGAATATAAACTTTACGGCTCAATATGATGTATTCTCAAGCAATGATAAGTAGCTTTTATGTAAACGTACAAGGTGTTACACTGTAAACGTTTTGCATTCTGGAGATTTAGTTAAAATTCATTTCTTCATTTTAAAATGTTGCTTAGTTTGTTCGTACACAACACCTAATATTCCATTAATTTAAAGGAATTCATCGTATATTCAAGCTTAACTGCTTAGAAGGTATTACTTTTTGTGTGTGGTGGCTTTGTAATCAAGCCATATGTGTTTAAACCACCAAGTCCCTGATTCGAACCCCACCTCCTATAGCCGGTTAGTACCATTAATTCCCTCATTTAGTGTGACTTGAATCCAGATGCTTCAATCTGTGCCTGGTAAATAAGTTAGCTCTATTCACTCATTCGATCATTAGCTTTTTTCCTTGGCATCATTTTTTCCCAATATTAACAATTTTACTTCATGTTTACCGTTTTTATACTGTAGGAACTCGCTCAGTCTCATATTATTGACTCAATACGAACAGAATTTAAAACCTTAATTGAACCTTTTTGGCGTTTACTACAAAGGAATTATGATTTAAATCAAATGAAAGTATTAAATGCAATATTAAATATCCACTGTATAACACGAATAGCCAAACTGCTTACTATTCCGATTCCTGACCATGTAACTATGGAATTATCTCAATTCACTGACTGTGATCCGGTTGTTGCAGATAGCAAGTCTCAGAAGTTTAGTAGAAAAGCCTCAAAGTCAGTGAATAATTCTACCATAGCTAAATCACCGAAAAAAGATTTTGACGAATCGAATGGAAACATTCATCTCATTAATTCTCTAGCTAAGCCTTCAACTGATCGAAAAGCTTTTGAAGTGCATAACAGTTCTAATGAAACGTCTACAGTTAAAAGTGGCAAACTATCTATCGGTTCAAATAAAGTGGATTTAGATGAACCTGGTCAAGATGAAATACTGAAAAATGATCCACCTTGTGAAATAGATAAAGTAGAATGTGAGTATTTATATTTATTTACCCTTTATTTATTATCAGATCAAAGTATGATGTGATTTTGAACTTTTGCTGTAAATCGCATTGTTTTACGAATTATGATTTCATGAATAAAACTTGGGTGAACACAGTACTGCTTGAAAGATGGGATACAGTGGTATGATTTGGCCGAGATCTGTTTATTAACTCAGACTCTAGTGAACTTATGCTAAAGACAATGCTGTTAGTCAGGTTCGGTTTTTTCACCCAATAAAATAGCATTAATAAACTTCATAGAAGACTAAAGGATATCGACTTTATAGTTAGACCACTCACCAATAAATTAAGACCAGACTTCTAGTCTTAACTCTTGCTCATCATATCACCTCTCCCACGAAATAATATGAGATCTGTCTGTCGTAGCAGCAAGAAAGTGAAACTTTCGAATAATTTTGTGGAAGTCATGTTTCTGTCCCTTTTACGGATTGGAACCAGATTATAGTTGTCTATGTAGGTATGGCGAACTGTCATCTACTTTTGCAACCTCAAGTGGTGTCCGTCAAGGATGTCCACTTTCCCCATTTTTGTTTAACTTCATCATAGACCTACTGATGGAAATAACTTTCTCGTCGACTGAGTTCTCGGGTATTGATCTCTTTCCAGCAGGTCCACTTATCGACTTAGAATACGCAGATGACATAGTCCTGTTTGGTGAAGACGCTGACAAAATGCAAAGTCTTCTGGTAGCACTGAGCAACAATGCCAGGATGTTTGGAATGCGCTTCTCTCCCTCGAAATGCAAGTTGTTGCTTCAGGACTGGTCTGCGTTAACACCTGAACTAAGGATAGGGAGTGAAGTAGTCGAACGCGTTGACAACTTCACTTATCTTGGAAGTCTGATCAGCCCTAATGGGTTGGTATCGGACGAAATCTCAGCACGGATTCGAAAAGCTCGTTTGGCTTTTGCCAACTTACGTCACCTTTGGCGAAGGCGAGATATCCGTCTATCAATAAAAGGACGAGTATACTGCGCGGCAGTCCGTTCTGTTTTACTTTACGGTAGCGAAACATGGCCATTAAGAGTAGAAGACACTCGTAAGCTACTAGTATTTGACCACAGATGCCTTAGAAATATTGCTGGCGTCTGCTGGGATAATCGGGTAAGTAATAGTGAGGTTAGACGCAGGGTATTAGGAAAGGATGGTAAATCAGTTGATGAGGTTATGAATCTTCATCGACTGAGATGGTTGGGCCACGTGTTACGTATGCCTGAACACCGATTACCACGACGTGCAATGCTATCCGATGAAGTGAAGGATGAATTTTACAGGAAGCTTTCTGAACTTCTTCAGAAAGCTAAACGCTCAGACATAGTACTCGTAGGGGGTGACTTTAATGCGCAGATAGGTAGCTTAAACCAAACAGAAAGGCATTTAGGTGGAAGAAAGTTAGGGGCGGCCAAACCAAAACGTGGCATCAGTGCTTGAAGTCACTAACTTCTAGTCTGAGCCATGTTGGTAGATGCAGACTACTTGGTTGGGGTCCGCGTGACTATCGTAACCAATGGTTGGAGACTCTTGGTGACATGGCTCAGAATCGATCACAATGGCGTCGGTGTATACACTCCCTGTCTTCCCTTAAACTAAGAGATTAAAAGCGCTTCATATCTTTCTTTCTACTAACCAATTCTTTCTTCTTGTACTATATCTCTATATGCAATCTTTCTCTTATATATTACCACCTTTTACCTAACCACTGTTATGAATCCGGTGTTCATCTTGTTGTGCTGATGCGGTATGGCAACCTGGACCGATGCACATAAGTGCATGGTTCTACGTTGTAGCTGACTGACTGACTGATGTAGGTATCGGGAGCGAATAAAATCATTTTTTTCGTTCATGATCATCATAGCAGTTTTGTTTCATGTTTGTGAAACCTAGTCTCTCCGATTTGAAGATGCTAAGCAACTCTTTGTGTTCAGTCATCGTCGTCTCTAAAGGATTGCTGACAATCAGTCGCAAAGCCAGATCAACAGTGGGGGGGGGTCGATAAGGTGTGTCTGGGCACAGCGATGACAATTCATTTGGTTTCACCATTTTGGAACACTGACTTCAGTGTCTTGAACATGCTTTACGAATATCATCCCAGAAGATTCCACATTATGTATTATATGATGACTCTAGGACTGGTTTGAAAAAGAAGAGAGGTGATCAGTTTGTGGTACAATGCCGTGGCATGAATGAAGATCGTACATGGCTGTCATCTGTTGATCCTTCATTACTCCCTAGTTGGGGTCCCAGAATTAGTGCAACATAGTGGCTTGAGATGTCAGATGAGTCAGAATCGAGCTGAGTGGCACTCCTTCTGCAATTTTCTTCATAAAAGTGAGAGAAATGTCTTTAAGTTAGAGGACTCCTGGTTGTATTTTTCTTAACAGAACTGGTTTTCCCACTGTTTACTACTTTTAACCACTTATTTTTATTCATATTTTAAAAATTATCCTGACCTTCCTCCCATTTCTTCATAATCTTATTTTCTGATTAGGCAGTACATATTTCGGTGACCATTTGTACCAGTATTTGTGTTTAAATTGATAAAACTGGATTATGGACATAAAATTTAAGATTGTCCTTTTCCATTTCCTGATTTTCATAATAAAATAAGTTCATACTTTTATCTATTTTCTCCTGTTTAGGATAAACATCGCATCACATTGGTCTGTAGACTGTTTTCACCATTCAGTTTAGATATTATTACATTAACTACTTTAAGATTGTCATCTTGCCAAAAAACTGGTTTTCTGGGTTTTAAAAAAAATAATTTTAAAAAAACTTATATTTTTGTTATTAGAGAGAATAGATAAAAAATCAACTACTGAAAATTCAGGAATTATAAACTGTGGCTTCATCTTATCGTGAACTTATTTAAGGAGTGTGTATCCGTAAATTCTTTCATATTAAATTGGAAGATTAATCGTTTTCATGATATCTACTAGACGACTGAACAATCGGCAAAAAACCCATTAATTAATATCTGGAAATGTTGCTAAACTTACAGTGGGGAATAAAACGTTTCCAATTAAATAAAACTATGAGATCGAATTGAACATATCTTAAGTATTTCAATAAGAACTTCTATTCTACTCAGTTAATACTTTTGTATTATTGTTAGCATTTACGTTACGATTATTCCTTGCGTTTAATGTGCTTTTGGGCATTCAGATTTCTACCTCATTGATTTTGGATTCGAATCGCTCCCACCTACTGAGATTCCAAAAATCAGTCACTATTATTAAATGGAATACAAGAGATGCGTAGCTCTATAACATTCTACAAGAATCTATACGTGGTTATTGAATTGTATTCATTTATTTTCTCTTCAGCATATATCTTGCTGAGTTTATCTTGTCTCTTTATTCCTCAAATAAGAAGCCCTGCGAAATTTCAATAGTTATTATTAACATCAGATGTTTACATTAGAAAAATAATATTTTGTGCATATTCATAATAACAATTTGTTTATGGAAAGCTACGATGTCACAAAGACAAGTGATGAGGAACCTTTTTTAAAAAGGCTGATAAACCTTCAAGTTTTATTGCAAGCTTGTCACATTTAAGATACTCCTAAGTTCAAAACTCAGTCGTCCACGTTTTCAAATTCAACTGATTTTCAATATATTTCTATCTTCAGTGTGATATATCTGTATTAGTACTCAGGCCTGTAGATCCTTAGTCTGACTCAGTGTGTAGAATTATGAGTGTACATCACTCCAAGTGGCAAGCTGCAAACTAAAACAAGCCTACCCATTGTTACAGGTACAGATCTATGTATTTGGTTTCTAGCCACATTGTTTTCTGGTTAGTGAATAATACTATCTGGTTGTCTAGATCGTAGTAATTGGAACAAGGTTCAAATCTGGGCCTTGATGGCTTACGATCAAACTCTTTAACCACTGAGTCAACGCCCCACAAAATTGTTTAGATTTAACAATCTCCACAAAACTCTAATATAAATGAGTACGATTCCTAGGAGATAAAGATGTTTCTATGATGTGTTCTCTGAGCTAGACGGAGCTTTTGATGTTCAAGACAGCATAATCCTTACTTCATATTGTTTTTTGGAGTGGGAGAATAATTATTTTATTTATTTATTATTTTATTTACTTTTCGTTCATATAGTAATGTCTGACTACTCATCAAGTGAGAGTAGTAGGTGTGATAGTTTGAAATTTCCTGATATATCTCCCTCCTCTTCTGATCATGATGACGATGGTGGTGGTGCTTTTAATAATAATGACAAAAGTAAAAGTTCGAATGGTAACAATGATGATGACGATAATAATACTGGTGATGATAATAAAGATTCACAAGAGTCTTCTAAAGATATATTTGAGGATCAAAATGTAATTATTCAGTCTCCTCTTCGTCAATCGAGCATCACAACCGATGAATCAAATGGTCTCAAGGGTAAATCAGTAAATATTAGTTTACTGTCCTGTCATGAAACTTCTAACAATGATTTTAATTCCTCTGTGACTCTAAAAGATATTCAACCTGCTGAAAACACAGTTTCTGGCTTACAATCAAAACATGTTAAAAACAATTCTCAGGTAATAAAGGAAGATCTAATCATTTCGGAAGTGTCGTCACATGAAAATGTTACGGATAATAATAAAGGTATATAAGTTTTCTAAGTTATTTTTTTCGTCACTCCCTTAATGTATGAATAATTTCCGGTTATTATTTTGAAGGATCATTCAATATAATACAAAAACTAACACTTTATTTTGTCTGTTTGATGAAAAAGATTTTGTATACATTTTCCTTCTAAGATTTTAAGTTTAATAGAAAGCATTTTTTCTAAATATTCAAAATGTTCTGGAATTTATAAAAATTAAAACTCTGAGCAGGATATGCGTTTACTCAATGCTCGTGTGACGATGCTTGCATTGCATGCGGATATGAAGTATTCACATGTTGTTTAATGCGTGTAGTTCACGTGTGGACAGATGCAACGATAAGTTTCCGTTTTGTATGATACTTATATACGATTGTGCCTATGAAATGATAAGTAGTATGACAAAAATACTCGAATTTCAAGCACTGGGAGGTTGGTTTGAACTCTAGCTTGAACAGCTAAAAATTAGATGTATGCGAGCAGTTTTCAATTCGCGTTTGTCCACACTGTGGAACAATGTCTTCTTGAGGTATTTTATCAGGAAAATAGTTTAGTGATGACTCGAGAGAGTAACGGAGAGCCCAAGAGACAGCTTTTATGGGCTCGCCACACAATCTTTTCAAGAGTGTAGCCTTTGGTGTGTTAGTGGCATATTTTCACTTGTGTTGAAAATCTACTGAAGAACAGTAATTTCGCGCATATAAAATGTAGAAAATGACTAGAAAACGCTTTATTACTAAATGAAGCAAGTTGAATGATTTACTTATATAAAAAATAATCCTATAGTGTTTCTTAATAATAATATAAACTAATTGCTTACTAGTTAAAATAATTGGGTTTCAAATGTCAGGTTAAAATTTCGAACCTAAGGACACTGTTGTTGCAACCAATTAATATTTCTAGCCTTCACATAAAATGTGCTGCTTAATAGCAGCTAAACCTGTAATTTGTCAATAAATTACGTCACATTATTATTCTATTAAAAAAGAAATTAAATCAATATTTTACTTATTTTCATGCTTCAACTGCATGACAACTTTTGTATTGTTACCATTATCACTTATTCTATACCTCAGTCGTTTTAAAATTATGTTAATCGTGCGGCAGCAGTGTGGTATTAAAGGTGGTCGAATTTCTCTTTCCAAGTGTAGCTTCATAAAATTATACTTCCTGTTTTATTGTTATCATTAATTCTATTCAACTATAGGAAAATTATAGATGGAGGTAGGGTTGGGGAGAATGTTAGATTCTGTTGTTTACATCACAGACTGACTTTAAACAACCATTGTAGACTAAAGAGCGTTGGATAAAAGTCTCTTCCTAGTATAGGGTTTCTCATCAGTGTTCATCGCGAAATATGAAGGTCCTAGGTTTAATCTCCGGGTGGAGTCGTGGATGAGTTCTACAGAGGATTCCCATACTAGGATGAAATGGCTTTTTAGTGCTTTGTGGTTTTTAATAATTATGTAACTAAGGTAATTCGATAATGTAATTTACAAAATTCAAGGTAATTAATTGGTTTAACCAAACATGATTATTAGTACTATAGTGTAAATTCTTTTGTTTTCATGTTTGTCATTTAATGAAATAAGAGGTGTTCAACGAGACTTTTTTTTCTAGGTGAAAATGAAATAATCTGTTCTGATTCAAAAACATTAAACTCCTCTTGTATTCCAAAATCTTCCGAAAAATCTCATAAAATGGTCACTCGAAGTAAAATGAAAAATGATTCTCAAATAATTGACTGTTCACCGAATACATCATCTTTTCACTCTAATGATAATCTTTCAATTAATCTATGTGATAAATCATCAGGTTCCACAGCTAAATTGATTTTAGAGGAAACCTCATATTTGAAAACGTCAACTAAACCACTTGTACATCTAATAAAGAAATTAGAAAAGCGCTCTAAAATAAACGTAACTTTAGATGATAATGTTCCCTCTCGTGTACTGACCTGTCCTTCGACGCTTTCTCGTGGTTCCAATTGTCCTGCATTATCATTATCATCATCACTTAATTCTGATGTTCAACTCTTTTCATTATTATCAGATAAGTATTCATCTGATATTTTACAGTGGTGTGATAGGCTGTGTTCATCATCTTTCTTGAGTGACATTCCAAAAATCTGTTCTAGTAGTCAAATGTTATCTACTTCGACTAATTCTAAGACTCAGCTTCAAGTCCCCGTCATTGTCGAAGCTCCCCAAACTCATTCCAGTCCGATAATAAACAAACAACTATGTAAGCTGAATGATGATGAAAAAATAATTCGTAAAAGGAAGGTAACCAATGAATCCCATTGCGGGAAAAAAATAGTATTAGATGGTTTATCCACTGATTTGTCTTTACTGGAGGCTGCAAATCATCTGAATACTGATAATACAAAACCAGATCACCAATATGCCGAGATAAAACAAAAATGTATTAATTTCCTATTATCAACCAAAGATTCAATTAAAAATGCGCCAACAGATTTATCTAGTGAATTGAAACAAACGAATATGCCAATGCAAATTATTCTATCTTCACTAAATACTATTTTAACTTCAGTCAATTATTCAAATTGTTCGTTACTTTTAAAATCAATGGATGAGAAATTTGTATCTTTATGTCATGGTATAAGTGTTGATCATCAAATGGAAATGTTGCATTGCTATCAACAATCTACTCAATGGTTACTTAATACCTGTAATAAATTCACTGAAATAACTCAATATTCGATTGCTTGTAGTGTTATTTTCAAATTATTATCTACTAATTTAGATCTTGTTCAGGTAGAATGGTCTAGACAATTTTTAATTCAATATCTGAGTCATTTATTTCATCAAGCATTTACACAACAAGATTTTGCTTTATATTTAATGCCACATATAATAGATAATTGTTTAATTGCATTTCCTAATTTATGGTGTAATGTGGAATTGATCAAAAATGATTTTGAATTTCATTCCCGTACTCCAGCGGTGGTTGATAATAATGATCACTTGTCATTTTCTTACATAACCACTACATTAAAAACATTATTAGCTTGGCAGGAAGCACGGGAAGCACGAAATGCCTGTTTAAAATCTGATGTTCAGTCTAATTCTAACCAGGTAGCTGTTTACCGTAGACTTCGTCAAAAAGGTTGGCTACCCGCTAAAGCATCCGAGTCTTCAACACCTATTGAGATGCATAATTTTGCATTCTCTCAACAGACTCATCGTATTCGCTGTTTATGTCTTGGACTGGTAGATACATGTTTAAATGTGTGTCGTGATCATATCACAGATGATTCTTCAACACATGTGACGATATTGTCTAAGACGGTGGTTGATTCAGATATTATTTACTCTTTAAGATTAATTCTATCTGCAATGGCTTTTGTTGTTGGTGAAGAGGCAATGATCGGTTTCCATGATGAACAGCCTGCCAGTATTTCTTCAAGATCTAGAAATCATCAACGTACACGAAGATATCGGCAAGTGGAACGACACCGACAGCATGGTTTGTTAGGTTGGCTTCTCACGGGTCGACTACTTCCATGGTTAACAAAATGTTTGAAGTGAGTCTGATTAACTAGTTAAAGTGGTACAATAAAATTTTATAGTCATACTTTTCATATTTTCTTGTATACGGTCAAAATCATGATATGTGAATAATTCCATTTTTATAAATCATTAAAAACTTTTAGCTATAAATCAGTCCTGTTATTGTATGTCTAATGAATTAGTAAGCTGTACCTCTATTATGAATTACTGATCTTTGAAAATTCATAAGTAAATTAGTCATTCATTAGCAGCTTAGAATTCGGCGAATGAGTGGATCGGCTCAAGTTGCCACCAGCATATCAACACAATGAGATGAAATTGTCAAGATAAATCTTAGTCAGATTATTAGAAATAATAGTGAAAGTGATGGAATAATAAAGAATGGATTTGTGAGATCTCAAAGTGTAAATTAATTTTAAAAGTGAAAATGTAATGGGAGATGAAGAGTGAGTGTATCTGGACCTTTGCGAGATATTAGGAACCTCTGTGTCACCCATTGTCTCTATCCTCATCTTGGCAGTCTGCACTTATCAGTACACAGTAAACAGTTATCTCTATTTTCGTTTTACTATTAAGAATAAGGAGATACTAGATAGTCTCACTTGCTTTAGTGAAGCTTGTTGATCTTTGTTATTCCCGCTGACACTCTTACTGGCTTAAAGCTGACTCTTCACTAATAGACTGTATAATCTAGTAAATCTACTTACTTATATTAACTATCCTGAGAAATCAACTCAACATTCAAGTTCAGTCATATGTTTTCGATTTTAAGATACATCTTATGTGATGATTATCTGTGATACTATTCGATTAACCATGCTAAGATAGATAGAAAGTAATATTCTAATGTAAATCTAATTATCAGAATGGGTTTTGTGGGGAGTTTTAGAAATTTCACAAGTTGGAATCATGAGTCAGTTGAAGCTAGACCACCATTGAAAACCTGGAAGCACTGGACGGCCGTTTCGTCCTGGTATGGGACTCCTCAGCAGTGCGCATCTAACTGTTTAAAAGTTGGTCTTTTTTAATGTTAAGCCATGACTTCACCACGAATCTGATTGACCAATACTTTAATTTTTTCTTTATATTTGCTATAACTGTGTGACGGCAGATTAAAGGAGAGTGAATTATCGATCGGACCAAAGACGCGCAAACACGTAGAACGGCCTAGGGTTCTGATTGGTCCCGCTTCCCTGTCTAGCTCAGCCAGTTGAGTCCAGAACACAAGTCACAGCCTCGGAGATATGAATCATTATATTTCAAACAAACTTTGTTTATATACCAATCAAGCAGATCACAACGTACCATAAAATAGAAAATAACATTGTACAATATTGACCAGTAGGAAAATAACACGTGAACTAAGTACTGACCAATAAGAAAATAATACCATCTCCAAGTCCAAGAATAGCATTAGACTTAATAGAATAATTTCTGGGATATTTTCCTGAATATCCCAACAATATTTTAATCCCATTTAACTTTTTTTTGTGTTATAGTACATAACTTTTACTGAATAATAACTGTTTAAATTTTATTTATATACTTTTTCTTTGTAAACAATATAGAATGAAAGATTTATTATCAAACAATGATATATTGAATCTTATTAGTCGTTTAAGTTGTTTAATTACAGATATCATTATCTATGGTTCACATTTATTCAAAACTAATAATCCTGGGAAACAATGTAATTCATTAAAACAATTATTATTCGATACTGGAAATCAATTTTTAAATATATTAAATCATAATAAATCAAAGGAAATTATGAATAATAAATTATTATTCATCTATATAATATGTTCCATTCGTTTAATTGCTTTTAATCCAAAATTAATTATTCAGTTTATTGGTAAATTACCATTGGAGTTAATAATTAAATTTATTGAACAAATAAATCATAATGAATTATTCTCTTATTTATGGCCATCCTCATCATCATCATCATCATCATTGTCAACAACATCTTCTATAACACATTCATTGAAAGATCTAATTGAACAATCTATTTCACTTGTAAATAACAGTAGTAATAATAATAATAGTGATGATTCCGATATATCTACTGAACTATTACAACAATATAATCAAACATGTCAAATAATATTAACTAAATTATCATTGTAAATCTCTATTTGTTTAAAGATAATGATTGATTTATTTGTACATTTTTTTGTATTTATAAGTCTATAGTTTTGTAAATTTTTGAGTTTAGTCTTTGTACATAAAAGAAAAAAAAAAGAACTAGTCATATTTTGTATAGCAGGAGATAATAAATAGAAAACAACTACATATTTGTACATTCACATTATTTATTTGTACTGGATCTTACTTGCAATATGTACTTTTATTGTTATATACATTTATTAAAATTGAAAAAATACACAAATTGTCTTATTGCAAGTTAGTTTTTGTGTTTACTTTTACTAATACATATGTGTATGTGTTGTATGTTGAAGTGATGGGTCAATGGTTACAACATTTGATTTTCAGGTTCTAATTTCACTTCGCTCCTATTTCGGTTTAAACAATTGATTAGTGTCACTAGCTCTCATACATACTTAGAGAATAATTTTCGAAGTTAAATAAAGTAATCTGTTTACCTGGTGAATGAGTTGAAGAACATTTGTATAATTAGAATGAGAGCTAATTTCAATTACTTTTTGTCAGCAGTAACTTGATTTGCTCAATCATTTTTACTCTTTACATTGAAAGTAAAAACTTTCCATTAAAGAAGTGTAGTATGGGATAGGGGAGTGGAGTGAATGACTTACTAATCTGAGCAAATTTTTTTTAACCGGTACAATTCAAACTTGAGTCTAATAAACTTTCATAGCCGACTAGTATCAAGTATCATCATAAAAGTGAGTACCTTAGAGTCAAATAGTATTCCGTTTGGTTATCTGCGCAAATATATACATGCTGCTTGTATTGTATTTCTTCAGGAGACCAGCATTTTAAGATCAGTTTCATCTTTGCCGATGAACGTATTAAGTTGCTATTCTGATTGCAGTAGATTTCAAAGGCTTCACTGACTACTACTGTACTATTGTTGAATAGCCCAACCTCTTATGATTAATGAGTGAACAACTACTGAATAGGTGAATGTTTGTTTGATAAGGCAAAAAATCAGTGTCTTACGAGATAGTTTGATAGTATAAGTTGTTAAAAAGTTGAGTATTATTCTCAGTTCATACAAATATAAGAACGTTAGAAAAAGCTAAGGAATTGCAATAGTATTCAAACATTTCTACTGAATTCAGTAGTTTACGTTGTTAGATGATGGAGATTGGTCGATCGGGAACCCTGCCTCCAACTGTTTTGCACCTGAGTAGATTCAATTAGACTAGCAGCCATATTGCAAATTGACAGATTTCTATCGACCAACGATGAAGAAGGATCAGACAAATATCACATCGGTCACATCTCAGCAATCAGTCAATTGTAGTTCACGTTTTTCAGTTAAATTTGAGCTGCGAACTATTTCCAATTTAAACTACTACCTAATATGAAATGTGTTTAGTTTAGTTAATTTTTCCCACACATATGTGTTTCAAAAAGTTATTTTCCCCCACCTTAAATTCAGACAATGGTGGTACCTTTGCCAGCAGTTGCGGAGCGTATGAACAATCCGAATAATCCAGTCGTTTTCTTCGATGTCACGATTGGTGGACAGGTAAATGTAGTCTTTAAATTTTTATTCTTTTCTCCGAACTATATTTCTTGATATATATGTATAAGCCTATTATGTTGATCATTCAGTCATAAGCCATATGGAATCTGACATATACATCGGTTAATGTTATCACACCATATCAACATAGTGTGATGAAATTGTTAAGGTAGATCTTAGTCCGAGTAGTAACTTTATTAGTGGTAGTGAAAGCGATTATGCGCAGAAAGTTTACACAGTCCAGTAGAATAATGATTGTTATTGAGAATCAATGTAATTCCCGTAGCATTATTTACATTAAGTTTTTATTGATTAATTGATTTTTAAATTTCATATGATTTCAGAAAACAAAACAGTTTGGTTGGATGGTTTTTGGAAACAAATTAAATTTGATGATTGTTTTTTGTTGTGACCTTTATTCTGTTGTATCATCCACCTGATTGGTTCTCAGTACTATAGAACCTGCTCATTACAAGTTCGCCTACACCGATCAGATCAATAACTTTCTCTGTGATCACTAACACAAGCGAACACCAGCAATCACAGTGATCATATTTCCTGTTGATTCAACATAGTTTTTTCTTTCCCCAGTATCCAGTCAGGAAAATGAAAACAGTAAGCCGATATGGCTTTTATTATTAGGAGTCGAATCATTAAATTAAGTACACAACCATAGTACACTACATATAATGAATCAATTTGTACACAACTAAGTCACAAGTGATACAAAACGGGGCAACATCTTTACAATTGTTTAAAACAATTCAGGAATCGTAAAACGTATATAAACAGTTAACAAGTTAAATGAAAGCTTATAATTAGGATAATATGAAAATATCGTAAACCAAATGTTTACTAATTAAATAATAAAAATAAGTATAATAATTAACCGTGTAATAGTCTTTAAAGTTGCATCTTTTCTAAAGTATTTTATTCTGTGTAACAGTTTTAATCATAAACTACTGTTAATAGCTGGAGAACCATTGAAAATCATGATGCGCTGATGAATAGATAGTTCGCCTTTTTTGAGACCCATTCATAATGTACAGTTTCATCAACTAATTTCCACCCTTACAGTAGTACTCTGCGTACAATTTCTCAACATTATTCACTTGGTGAGGAATGTGTTGAAGATACCTGTTGGATAAGTACATAGATTAGGTTCTTATTAACTTTTAAGTCTAATAATTTCCTGGTTGTTTCCAGTTTTTTTATTTTTTTTCTTTATAGGAAATCGGTCGAATGCAATTCGAATTATTTCAAGATATTGTCCCGAAAACTGTAGAGAATTTTAGGTAGGGGTCATTTTGTATTCTTTTTACATTTTATTATTGAAATCTGTTCAGCATTACCGAGACATTTGTTTTTGCTTACTTGTCTTTTTGATTAAAAATTTAATATAGTCTTACTCAGTTGTCAAATAAAGAATAATGTATTCACTTTCAACTGAAGTACATATCAGTATACATGTGTTTAGAATAGGGTGTTGATCACACTGTCCAGTTGCCGAGACTGAATTAGATATGCGAATCAGAACTGGGTTTCTCAAGGTTAGAAGTTTAGTGTTTTAGCCAAACTGTTAATTTCCGTCAAACTCCACAGATTTTACAAATCTCATGAAAGATTGATTTACAAGGAGTATGCTGGTTTTCATTCAGATTGTGAATACACTGATTACATCTTCATTCTCTTACAAGTGTTCAAATAAGGATTTTGCTTCTGTATATCAGTGTATTCGAGTGTTTTAGTATAGGGTTTACTATGTATTTACTTTTAGTTAAGTAATTGTTTGTACTTTGTGTATACCAAAAATATTTTCCACTAGTTTTCATTTCGGATACCTTTATGGCCATTTATGGTTCAATCTCTCGTGTCTAACAAATTTAGAACATGATTATTTGTAATTAACTTTATTGTTTGTTTTGTGTCTTGATTTCCAATTACATAATAGGCAATTCTGTACAGGTGAATACCGTAAAGATGGTGTACCAACTGGTTACAAGGGAACATCATTCCATAGAATCATTAAAGATTTCATGGTACAAGGCGGGGATTTCATTAATGTAAGTTGATTCATATATTAAGTACTTTATTTTCAGCTATTTCTTTCAGTGATTGTAAGCCAGTGACTTTACAGAGTTTGATTGTTTGAATTCTAACTTCTGTGTTACTCATTTGAGCTCTGTTTCATCTGCGTTAATTAAAACTGTAACTGAGTCTGTTCTATACGCCTAAGTTTATCAAAGTTCTTTTTTGTCTATTGATGAAAACTCAATCTGATTTTATTCCGTAACCGATAACTGTTTGGAAGCTTAATAAAGAATTTAAAAAAGGTGTATTCACATACACCACATGCGAGTAAAATAGCATTAAAATAACTGGTATCAGTTCATTGTTCACAACCACCCTCGAATTAGTGAATAGTTTTTCAATCCTTCTTCCTTTGAATTCCTCAAACCTGTCTATCGTACAATAATAATAATAATAATAATAATAATAATAATAATAATAATAATAATAATAATAATAATGATAATAATAATAATAATTATTATTATTATTACTATAAATGATATATTATTGTTGTTTCACAATGAATATATAAACTCAATTTGTTCAGTGATTGCCTTTTTAACAAGAATGAGTTCTAGTAATCATGTTATCATCAGTTTAAATTCAGGTTTGAATGTCGTTATAGCCAGAGATAATTTGTGTATCAGCGTGCTATATCTTGATATATTTAGGCGAAAAAAAGTGTGCATCTAGACATGTTGAACACATATTTCGATAACATGTGAACTTTTGTGGCCCGATATCTGACTCCAGTTCGATTGTATGAATGATCGTTGTCAAAATTATACATCCTGGCTATCTTCGTATATAATCATCGACTTATCTCGCGTTAGTGAATAACGGAATTACATAAGTCGAATATGAGAATGAAGTTTGAATGCGTATATTTCATACAATCGTTGATCTGACAAACGAACGGAGAAACGAAAAGAGAGAGAAGCGAAATGATACGCGGTGGAGGAGTGTGAGCCAACTCAATCTGATCAAGCGTTAATCGATATTTATAGTCGCATAAAAATGAGTTCCAGACATGTAGTGAATGGGATAAAAAGTGCACACAAATACGCTCATATGAAAGCAGTCAAGGTTGATAAGCAAATTATTGACAAGGTCAAATGTGATTTAAGAAGAATGAATTAATTGGCTTGTCCGGAAACCAAAATAAACTATGTTGGCCCATATAGTAACCGATACTACAAAACCAACTACCCTTTCTTAAAGTATTTATGGTCATATTCTCAAAAGTTAACATTAGGGACAAAGGGAAAACAACAGTTGTCAGCCCCATGGGTAAAGATAGTAGACCCCGTCGCATATATGTTAGCAAAATCAGATTTATGAAATAATGATCCATCGTTTTAGTGATTGTTAAAATATTTAAGGTGGGGGGGGCGAGGATGAACCACTATATTTGAATATATATGTGTCTGTGATGTTTCTAACTGAACATGTTTTGATTTTTTTGCAAATTATGATCTGTGAAAAAAGTTTCTAACATTGTGTAAGCGTTATATATCAGTAAATATTCTACCATAACGAAAATACAATGTTCGTTTAATTAATCGTTTTTTCAGGGTGACGGAACCGGATCGTTTAGTATTTATGGCGGTGTACAATTTGCAGATGAGAATTTTGAAGTGAAACATTGTACTTGT